TCTGTCTTCTATCTATCTATCTATCTATCTATCTATCTGTCTGTCTGTCTGTCAGGTTTGCAAACAGGCTCACACACATTGCAAATCTGTAGTGACAAGAAATAATAGCCTATTGATCATGTGTAAAAAAAAAAAAAAAAAAGTAAGGAGTAAAAGTAAAAGTTGTAGTAGTTAAGTAAAGTACGGATACCAGAAAAATCTACTTAAAAATGCACAAATATGGCTAACACGTCTTTAAACAGTCTCAGAGTTGCACATTCGTTGAAGGAGTTTAAATTTGACAACACTGCCATCATGTGTTGGAATTTAGTATCATAAATGCTGACGACTTTATATGTATGGAAACAAAAATAGAATGACAAACTAACTTAACTACTAAAATCAAGTTGGTTTTATAAGTAACTGCAAAATAAGCACTTCATATTCCTGCACCTGCTATATTTCAACTCTAAATATTAATTTGATCAAATTGTAATTCATATTATAAAGAATTATACTAGCAGCACAGAAGTGTCTCAAATATCCACATTATACTCAGATAATTCTGCATGTGATTGTTTTTCATCTAGTTTTTAGAGAAATACAGTTCTGTCACCATTTGAGTTCTCTAAGTGCTGTCAGAACTGATTCAACTATGAATTTCCTTTTAAAGGAACAGTTCACCCAAAAATTGACATTTTCTGAAAACATACTCATTCTCAGGCCATCCAAGATGTAGATGAGTTTGTTTCTTCATTAGAGCAGAATTGGAGAAATATAGCATTACATCACTTGCTCACCAATGGATCCTCTGCAGTGAATGGGTGCCGTCAGAATGAGAGTCCAAACAGCTGATAAAAACATCACAGTAATCCACACCACTCCAGTCCAACAAGGTATTGTGAAACAAAAAACTGCATGTTTGGAAACAAATCCATCATTAAGACTTTTAAACTTTAAACCTTTGTTTCCGGATTTATTAAATTTAGGATGCTAACTTTCTCCAAATCTTTCCTGACCAAAAAAAAAAAAAAAAACGAACTCATTTACATCTTGGATACCCTAAGGGGGAGTAAATTCTCATTTTTGGGTGAACTATTCCTTTAAGAATGTGTTTTTCGGTGACACAAACAAATGGAAACTCACTGAGGAAGCATTAAACTTATGCGGTTTCTTATTGTTCTCATCATTTTAAGACAAAGTTGAAACAATTGATTTTGAATAATGAAAACATTTCAATGACATTCACACGAACCTATTATAGTATCACACATAAAACATTTATAAAATGTGCATCTCCAAGGAAGATGTTTTGCACAAGAAGACACCAGTACAAGAGTTACTCATTAAAATGAAGATACATTTTATTTCTTTTCTTAAAAAAACAAACAATACAAAGAAAAAAAAAATCTGAGGAAGGAAAAAAAGAAACTTGAAATTAAATCAAGCACAAAAAAACAAAACATTCATACATTTTTGGACAGCTAGGTTAAAAAACAATTTATAGACGGCACGAGTGGAAAATATTCAGAGATGCCTGGCAGAAAGGATCGAACCTAGTCAGAATGCCATGTATGCGCTGTAGACAGAAAAGCCCCTTGAAATGCATCATGGGATATACATCATATGTGTCTGAAATTAAAAACAAGCAGCAACAGAAATATATATTTAATGAGCAAACACACATAAGGTATGAATAGTACAATTCTTCTCCATCCTCACAGTGCAAATATGCCACTCTGTCACATCACAAACGCATCTGATCCAGGGCTGAAGAAAAACAACATTTGACTTTTGAAACGTTATTTGCTCGGCTGAAGAGATCCCTCAACAACAGCAATACAATCTCGGACAAAAACGGGCACGAGTCCCGGTTTCTGAACGTTTAGCTTCGCGGTACAATTAAAAAAAAAAAAAAAAAAACACCGGCTTCGGAAGGCAGAAACAGTGCGCGAGACACC